CTTGTACAGAGGCCATGATAATCTCAGTATTGTTTCACTTTTAGCATATGGCTGCTTCTTTTCTTATGAAAAGAAATCCTCACATTCCTCTTTTTAGACTTTTAGATTTGGGGCAACAAAGTCTTTATGCTTTACTCAGGCTTTGGCATGATTATGTATGTACATATGTGCACACACATGTGTGTGATTTTTATCAAAATTTGAAAGAGCTGTTATGAATTAAACCATGAAATAAATGAATGTCTTTGTTACCCATGTTGGGGTTGTGTGTCTGTGTCTATGAATGATTATAGTTCACCTATCTCATAATGTTACACCTTTGTTTTGGTTATATAAAGAGGGATCTAGAACAGTGTACATGGGAGAAAATTTAGAGCTCAAGCTGGTAAAAAGGATGTGAGGATTAATGGGCAGTGAATCTTGATCATTTGACAGTCTATAACAGATATAATATTGGGACATCAGTAGCTGTTGTTCCCAGGTCTTCCCCTTCCCCTCAGGCGAGGGAGATATGGGAGTTTTGGAAAACAAAGTATATGGTGACAGTTCATGATAACACAAATTTCTTCACATGGTATTTATGATCATCTCCCACTGTCCTGAAAGTTAGCTCTTAGAGAGTGGGGTGAGAATAAGGAGAAATTTTAGTGAGAAGATCATCTAGGCCCCCATTTTTATAGAGGAAGAGACATAGGAAAAGATTTAAGAGCAGGATCAAGGTCATATAGCCAATTAGGGTAAGGACCACACTCCAAGTTCCTCCAGTTCTAGCCAGTGTGATGTCATCATCACAGGTTCTCTAGCAGGCAGAATTACTGTAAGAGTTCAAGGACCTTGAACTGTACTGGTGTACATAGCACTTAATCCTAAATTAGAACATGCAAGATCCTATTCAACACACATATAGTAACTAAGCTCATTACTGTGTGTTCCATACAGATGATTTGGGGGCAGAAGTCTCGTCTCTCCAGAATCAAAAATATAACTGTCAGTAAGTGTGTTAAAAGGCTTATGTTTCTAATTAAAATTTAAGTGCTGTCTGGTTAAATCTGTATTCTGCTGTTTGGGAATGTCTGCTAATAGATATATGGGTGGGAACCCTGGCCAATTGTCCTGGGCATGGAGACTTGCTGGAAGTGTCAAAGACATTTTTATGCTTCTCTTCCACTTATAAATAAGCTAGTTTATTGAAAGGTGACTATGAATCTCTTGGAGACTATTCTTAGATTTGGAATGATCTCATAGTGTGGAGGGAGGCAGAGATTTTCAGAGGCTGATGGAAAGTTCACTATTATAACAACCTCCTTCAGATCATCCTCAGGTGTCTTCAAGGTCACACTACCAGTCTTTCCTCCTTCCTTGACACATGGTACTTTTACCACTCCTTCTCCTTATCCCTGGAGTCTTATTTCTGTTCAACTCTCATTTCCTTTAGTTACAGTGGAGAAGATCACAAGATGATTTGGGTTGAATATATGAGGGAATATGACAGTGCTTAGAAGGAAGGAATATATGTAGAAAATAACTATTAGTTTTTTTTTTCCCTAAGTTGGTCTCCAAAGTAAAAAGTATTCTACCCAAAACAAGTTCAAGTAAGTTTGGGAAACAAACAGTTACACAAATTTGCTGCAGGACTTGTTAGGACCTTTAACCTCAATCCTTTGTGACATGCTGCATTCATCTCAAACAACACTGATTTACTTCTCTCCTTCCACAAAGGGTTACCAAGACTAAGAGTGAATGTTAGCCCCCTTGAACATCCTATTTCTGATTAGTTTCTTAATCTGAAGTTTACTTAGAGGTGAGGGGAAGGAAAAGAAAGAGGAGAGAAAAGTATTGATTGTATGTAGAGGGGAGGAGTGAGGTAGAGGAGGAAAACTGAAGATAAAAGAGTAATTGTAAAGGCATTTGGGAGAGAACAGAAGACAGTTCTCTTCGAACATCTTTCTTGATTTGAAGGTCAGTTGGAGAGTTGATGTGAAGGTCAGTTGGAGAGTTGATGTGAAGGTCAGTTGGAGAGTTGAGAATATAATGGCCTGTGAACTTTGAAAGTGACTATTGCCATGATTGCACATGTAAACATGAAGGGGTAAGCATCTTCAAAAGTGGAAAATGGTGTATTTGGTACTCTGGAGGTTACTGAAATTGATGTGTGTTCAAACTACTTCAACTTTATGTTGACCTAATCATGATGCACAAAATAATTTGATAAAATAAAAAATAATAATGTTGGGTAATATGAATGTTTAATGGAAGTGGTAGAAGTAACAAGGAAGGGAGACAAAGTCTGGGTCTATTTTAGATGTGTAAGTAGACACTATATCTCAGGGTAAGTCTAGACTTGCTAAATTAATGTCAGCATGATTGAATAGACAGGGGGAAACTGGAACTTGGGTTTGGAAACCAGATGGTAGTAATGGCAGGTCAAGGTATTTGCTGTAGAAACCAGATACCCCAATACCAGATACATGATTGTGTCTTGCCCACAAAATCATTTATGTTGCTATTTACATGATAGCATGTAGAACTCAGGAATGGGGGATAGTCCTTGGAATGAGGACTGGATTAAAGAATGACAGACTTTTCTTCTGGGGGGCTGCTATACTCAGTAGTCTCTTGATCAAGGGAAGGATCATGGAGGAGTAATGAACTAAGTCCTGGGGAATGGGTCAGCTCTGGCCCATAAGGGCATGGCCAACCTTGAAACACAGCTAAGGTTGCTGCTGAACCTAAGAAAGTTTGTAAAAAAAATGTGTGAAAGATCCACTGTTTCAGATGCTAGAAATGAGGGTAAGGCTAATCTTGGCAATTTGGACAAGGTGGATAAAGAAGGAAAGTTAAGTACACTTGATCCTTGAACAAACCTAGAATTTGGGATGCTGACCCCCCATGCATCTAAAATCCATATATAATATATAATGACTTTGGCTGTCCCCAAATTTAAGTACCAATGAGCTGCTGTTCACTGGAAGCCTTCCCAATAGCATAAAACGTTATTAGCATTTATTTTGAATATTGTATATATTATATACTATATATTATATATATATATATAATAGGCTGTATTCTCATGATGAAGTAAGCTAGAAAAAATGTTAAGAAAATTATAAAGGAGAGAAAATACATTTATATTACTGTGCCGTATTTATCAATATCCTACATTTACTTTGTTTACAAGAAAATTCATGTGTACGTGAATCCACAGAGTTCAAGCCTGTGTCATTCAAAGGTCAAGTGTATTTCACGGGAAAAGAAGGGAAGCAGGGGTTGAGAAGCTAGGCAGATAGAAGTTGGGGAATTCAGAGGTCATTAGCCTTCTCATTTTTAAGGTTACAGTGACACCATGGGGTCTGTTATATCCACTTTATACACTAAGATATTCAAATCTTCAGAGCTCGTGCTTGGAGGCACCAGTGTCGGAATCAGATTTTCCTAACTCCAAACCCCATGTTCTTTCTCCTAGACCAAAGTTCTCAACCTGGAAAAGTTTTTAAAATAGTGATATATTCTGTTCTCAAATATTTGGGCTCAAGTCATGTGGGGTAGCATTTAGACATCGTGATTTTACTGTGCAGTCAGCATTGATAATCATGCTGTCTTACCTATTTGTTGTTGGTACTTAATTCAGCACTCAGGAGTAATAGGAACTAACAAAATGTTTATTAATGAGTTCAGAAGGTTTTATGCATACAAGAAGGTGTAGGCTAGGTGTAGGCTGTGGTGTAGGCTAGAAGAGCGGGAGGTGAGAGATTCACCAGAGACAGAGTGGGGAGTAGAACAGGTGGGTCTACTGAAATACACTATTGAAGGGAGCAGTGGGCAAGAGAGGAGAGGTCTGCTGTGCCATGTGGCTCATCCTCTGGCTGGGGATCAAGCTCATGCTGCAGTGGCTGGAGATAGCTTGATAGCACTGAAACTTAACTCTTATGCTACCAGAGAGGCCCTATGAAGTAAATTCTTTCCAGGCATTTTAAGATGATGATATCAAACATGCGATGATTATCAGAGGACACGATTAAAGATCAGAGGGTTGCTCTGTTTTACATGCTCAGATATGTTTTCTAAACTTTCCATTGCAGGTGGTGTGGTCCTCAACCCAGCCTACTATGGCATGCCTGGCCATACCAATATCATGATCCATGAAGTGGGGCATGTTCTGGGTCTCTACCATGTCTTCAAAGGGGTCAGTGAAAGAGAGTCCTGTGATGACCCCTGCAGGGAGACCGTGCCATCCATGGAGACTGGAGACCTCTGTGCTGACACTGCCCCTACTCCCAAGAGTAAACTCTGCCAGGACCCAGAACCTACCAATGATACCTGTGGCTTCGCCCACTTCCCAGGAGCTCCATTCAGTAACTACATGAGCTATACAGGTAATCGCATCAGTCTTGGGTTCATTTCCTTTGAAGATTCAGCAGGTCGTAGGACTTAGTCCTGGGAGGTTGAAGGTATGGGTGGTGGAAAGGATTAGCCAGAAGTTACTCCTGTCAGGGAGTGGAAGTATGTATAATCATGGTATATTCTTTTTCCTCATGTCCTTGAAGGACTTAAAGAAATACTGGGATATTATAGGATCTCAGCGACTGGATTCTCTACCACTGGAGAGATTATAAGACAAGCACACTTGCATCTCAGAACAGGTGCCAAAAGCAAAACACCTTTTGAGGTCTCTCTGGCTTCCTGAATATGATTATTTTTATTTTTACTCACCTTCTTATATGTTGATTCTGCAAAAGAGTTCAAAAGTGACAAAAAGATTTCTTCTTATTTGTCCTCTCATACCTTCATCGTGTGCGACAAAAAGTAATGCCATCCAGAGTTTCTTGATAACGGATAAAAATGTATCCTTAAAATTAAGGACTGCTTTGATTAGATAACTTGCTCCCTTATCATGCTGTAGGATGGAGGTAATTTTTCTCTAAGGTGCAGGGGTTAGAATGGTGATAAGTTCTAGAACTATTCAAAATAGGGTAACCCACAAAACCCTAGCTCTGCCTTTGAAGGGAAAAAAGAGCAGTGACTTTCTTGCCTAAGACAACAATATATTCCTACCTCTGTCTCATTTTGATGTCTAACCCAGGAGCATCAGAATCATGAGGACCAGGATTCCTGCTCCTTATCAAGGACGCACTGGACATAGTGTGGCACAGAGAGACCACACAGTGGGGTGGTGAGGGCTTAGTTGTGTAGGCAATGCTTTAGACATGGGCAAAGGAACCATCTAATAAGGAGAAGAGATCGTTTGATTATTTTTCATTGAAAAGGGTCTTGAAATTAAAATAAATCCCTTGCAATTTCTATGAAGAGTGGGAGATTTTGCCATCTCCAAGAGTAAGATGGAGACCATCCCCACCCAGTTCTGCTACCTTTTTGAGATATTTGCTCTAAGTCCCATGAGTATTTTCTGAATACTTACTAACCTTTGCCAAAGTCACTGGGCATAAAACAAGCAGGTGTCTGCATCCCCACAAACCATCACGGATGAAAAGGCCATGTATTGAAATACTGCCATCTTGTGGTTTTCTGAATAAGCAGCCATCAGCTCAGAGCAACCCTGTACCCCAGGGTCTGAGTCCCACCCTGCCCAGCCCAACATCAAGGTAATGTCTTTGATGTTAATAGCAGCTATGTCCACAATCGCCAGTGATAGAACCAACCGAAGTGCTCAAAAATATGACTGAATAAAGTTGTTCTGGGATCTGTGCTCAATGGAATACTACTCAGCTATTTAAAAAGATGAAATAATGAACAAAATGAATGGACATCAGGTGATTGTGCTAGGTGTGATAAGTCAGAAGGCAAATGGCTATCTGTAGATTATAAATGACAAAAAGCATTTAATGACAAAGCAGAACAAAAACAGGGCTCAGACTTTGTGAAAAATACACTGGTTACCAAAGTAATGGGAAAGGCAGAGGGAAGAGATGGTACAGGAAAGACGGAACAGGCCATGGGGATGGTCAAGGGAGGGTCAGTACACATGTGGAGGGCTAAAAGGCTAACCCAAACTTACACAGACATGTAAATGACTGACAGATGCATTTTTTAAAAAAAAGATGATGACTCTGCTTTAGACTTTAGAGATAAGCAAATGCTAGTCTCTGCTTTTTATTTTTTTGTTTATTTTGCTTGCTTTTTTTCTGGAAGAGAATGTATTCACTCATTCAAGTATTTCTGAAATAAGTATTCCGAATAAGTATGAGATATTGTGTTATATGCTGGTGTGTAGGGCGGGAACAATGCGGAATTTATACTCATTGAGGTGGATTTCACAGGTAAAAACCTTTACCTCCATGTTTTGTCTTTTGTCTTTATAGATGATGACTGTACCGATAGCTTCACCCCTAACCAGGTGGCCCGAATGCATTGCTATCTGGACCTTGTCTATCAGCAATGGAGTGAAAGCCGAAAGCCCACCCCCATTCCCATCCCTCCTATGGTCATCGGGCAGACCCCCAAGTCCCTCACTATCCACTGGCTGCCTCCTATCAGTGGAGTGGTGTATGACAGGTGAGCCTGGAGAGCCGGTGTCATTTCTCTGTGGGGTTTCTGATGCACAAGAGGAAGAAAGGAAGTAAATGTGGGCACCACTGCTTAGGCACCTGCTTCAGTTGTCATCTCCTTAGCAGAGCTCCCTGGACTTGCTTGTAAGCCAGTGGCTCACCTTGCTGCTCCTTGGTGACGAGCCTATCAGGCGTTGCCTTGGAATATCACCTCTATCAGGCTTCCAGCAGCTGTGAAGAAGATGATAAATGTGATAAAGATGGTGATAAATGTGATAAAGATGAACCAATATACCCAGAGTTAATCTTTCCCCCTTCATGTCATGTAGTATGTGGATTACTTCTGCTGGGGAAAAGAAGGGAAGTTTTTACCTCCAGGAACTTCTGAAGCTGCCCAGTGTCCAAGTTGTGCCTCAGGGGCTTACCTGCATAGGGAGACATTTCCAATGCCTTCTCCATTACCTTCTGTGGCCTGCTCCTCATGCCACTATGGCAGCTGTCTTGTGGAATTGTCATTGTCTGCTCAGTTCCCTAGTTGTCCCACTCAGTTGGCAACTCTGAAGGCGGGACTGTTTTTGGTGTCTTTATCTCTTGGTCTGTCTCAACAGACACCTAATGCATGTTTATTGAAGAGCATTATGATATCAGAAGTTTGCTTTTGTTTATTCTTTGCATATTGATATCAATGAAGGCCAAGGGAATGTTTATAAAAAGGAAAGATGGTAGGAAAATAATGCCATCTTACAGCTGGTAGAAAGATGGGAAGGGGGTCGTGGTTTAAGAAGGATCAAAATCCCAGTTTGATCTACGCTGTCTCTAATTTCAGAACCTACATCCACCTTGTTCTAAATCATGATTGGCTATGCCATTTCAGTCCCTCCATGTGTGAAGCATTGTGCAAAGTCTTTTTACCTGGGTTTGTTTCATTTTATCCCTGCAGAAAACACAACTCCTGCTTTATAAGTGAGATATCTGAGGCCTAGAAGCCAAACTCCACCACTAATTAGAGGTGATATGGGGCCATCCTTGAATCTCAGAAATAAGGAATATGGAGTAAATAGTTTCTTTGAATTTAGAACTTCCCCATTTAGCAAGTAGATGGCCCTCTTATACATGTCACACTTCCCCTCAATGTCAAGTCCCAGGTGAGGAGCTGGGTGTCCCTGCAACTTGTTCCTTCACACTCTAGCTTTGAAAAAGCCTGAGAGAGAAGACCGAATAGACGGGGATGGGAACCTAGAGTAGGAGAATCATTTTCCAAATGGATGGTTCCAGCCTGGTGGGATCTTGATGACCTGATGCATGCCTAATGCATATGATTGCCAAAGCCCATAGTCCTTAGAAAGAAGCCCTGACTGTCATCCACACCTGAGTGCTTGAGGGCTCCCCTGTGAGTCAGCATGTACCTATGCAAGACATGTAAGAATCCTCTTCCGGTGCAGCTTTGGTCGGCCAGGCTGAACAGTGTGTCCTTCATGGGCATGTGCAAGCCGGAGTTTTACATCTGTTTACGTAACGTGTAAACAATTTAATCTTTCAATTCTCTTTGTGGTACAAACGTTACGATAAAGCAGACATCAGTCCTGGCTTGCTGAAGTCTGTTGGCAGAAAAGGCTGAGATTCGCTTCCTTTTCTCAGCTAGGTGGGCTGCTATTTTGAGGCTTCCCGATACGTCTGTCGGGGAGACTCACGTCACACACCAGCCATTTGTGTCACACTTGGAGTTCTGTTTATTGTTCCCGGGTAGGTATTTGGAATCCTTATGTCAGAGAGGAGCCGAACCACGCACTGAGCAGAGGCTGTGGGAGGGCCAAGTGCATCAAGGAAATGTGGTTTAGAATTGTGTCTACACTTAAAGTGAGTGCTGACTGGAGTCAGAGGTTGGGGTTGCACTACACCTTTCATTGCTAAAGTACTGGACACTTGATGGTGTTTGGGAACTTGCTCAAGGGAATTAAGGAACTTGTTGTGACTTTAGCAATTTACTTAATCTCTCAGAGTTTGAGTGTCCTTCTTTGTAAACAAAGGGTTCTTACAGGGATTAGAAACAATTTGTGAAAAGCATCTAGATCTAGAGCAGAATGCCAGATTAATAGGGGCTTATAGGTAGAAATAGAGGGGAGTAAAAGAGACCAAAGATGTAAGGTGAGATAGTAAAGGAAGAGTTTATTGTGCTCTCAGGTGAACTTCAGGGGAAAAAGTGAGGTCATGCTCGGGAAGGAGGTTATGGGTTTTATAGGTGCAGAGGGGTGACAGCTCAAGACTGCACTAGTTTCGAAAACAGCATGTTTTCCACCTTTGTTTTTTTGCAAAATTTGTTTCCACCTGTTTTTCTGCTGTCTTGTCTGCCCACTTTTGGTAATGGGCACCAACTCATGTCCAAAACTACTTCCTGCTGGGGCCTCTCTCAGCCTTTTGTTAATAAGTGTTGAATGAGCATCGTTCTCATAGTCTACTTCCTGCCTGAGTGGGAGGTCGTCGTGGAAACCTTGGAAAAGAAAATTAGGCTAGGTTTTCTGGCCAGGTTCCTAGTTTAAGGTAGTCTTTTAAAATTTATCTCCTCTGCCTGAGACGGAAAAGATTGGTAGTCTCTGATAACCAGTTGGTTGAATGTCGTCTGGGTTATCCAAGAAACCTGTGTTTTGAGAAACCTAATGAGACAAGGAGCAAGCAGTTAATGCTCGGATACCTAGAATTAATGGTCCAGCAAGTCCCGTTATAAGCGTTGTTAGCCATGGGGACCAGTTAAACCATCCTTCATACCAATTTTGGGACAATTTCCACTGTTTCTGCCTTTCTGCTAGTCGAGCCCAGAAAACTGGCATAGAGTCTCTGATGACCCCAGAATTATTGGCATAGAAGCAGCAGGCTTCACCCAGAGCAGCACACATATTTCCTTGTTGGAGGAATAAGAGATCTCATCCCTGCCTGTTTTGTAAAACCATTTCTGCTAATCAACCAGCCCTGATTCATTTATGTAGTAACAGCATTCCTCCCGTAAAAATAGACATGGGGAGAAGCTGGTTGAAGGATTGGTGACTCGTTTCAGAAGTACACATTTGGAAAAACCTGAGGAGACAGGGAGCAAATGTGAAAGAAAGAAAAAAATCATAATTATTGGTCCCAGCTGCGGGAGAATCCATGTCAGGAGTGAGGATGTGAACCATGACTCCAACAGTATGGAGTATAGGTTAAAGAGTTGGAAGTGTTGATAAGATTGTTGGTTTGAGTGAGTCCCATGCCAATTCTGGACTGGCGAGATCCCAAGGATTGAAAGCAATCTGTGTATTAGGTGGTGTCACTGGGTGACAGGGGAACTCATCAGGAGCCGCAGTCAGAGCAAGAATAGGTGATGCCAGTGGCCACATCCCTGGAGTTCACAACCGTTGGTGTGGTGAGGATGACCAGATATGGGCCTGTCCACCTGGGCTGTAGAGTCTGAGAGTGCCATTCTGTGGTGAAGGTACTTTTCCAGGAGAGACTGATGCATGAGTCCATCAGGCACAAAGAGAGATGAGCCAGACTGGATGGCAGTGTAGGTATCAAAGTGAGTAAGATGCAGTTCAGTGGAGGAAGTGTATTTTGCCTACTTGTGTGCAACCTGGAATTTGTATCTTGGGAGGGGTCAGAAGAGAAGGTTTACAGAGAAAAGTAAAAATAGGACAAAAAGGGTTTTGGTGGGACTGAAATTCCAGGAGACCCCTTGGAGTCAGAGGTCTCTGAGCAGTTCCAGGGTTTGGGTGGGATTCAAGAGCAGTGGCAGTTGTTTCAGAGAGAGGACCTGGAGGAGGTTGAAAGGAATGAAGTACAACTGGCTTTAACTATTAAGTAGGCACAAACTTAAGGGAAGGTCAACAAGACTAAAATTTCCAAATGTGGTAAAAGGGTCTCTATATGGTCCCTGCCTAGAGTCAGAATAGTTTAAGAATATTTGAGTTCTTACTGCAGATGAAAAAGAAATTAATGTTTGGTTTTACATAAGTACTGATATTAAACTTATCAAGTCATTCTAGCACATAACATTTTCACCGCTCTCACAACTTCAACCTTCTTGACGTGCTACATTTTCTTTTCAAGACCTTCAAAATACTTATTTTCAACATATTTCTTTCTTATTAAACCCACAGCTCACTTTACTCAACTTGTGAACCGTGACAGATTTTTTTTTATTATTACAGAGTTTATTTTTACATCATTTTGCACATTTTTTTTTCCATCTCGATTGTAATCCCCGCGGGTTTCCCATCACCAAATCACCCCTGTGCCACCACCATAGTCCCGTGCATTTCCCTCCCTTCCCCCCCCCCCGTTTTTGATCCCATTCCTCACTCCACCCCCACAAAATGTCTCTGGTATATGGTTGTTCATTATTTTTGTTATTTTTCCGTTGTCATTTCGGCCCACCTTTGGTAATGGGCGCCGACTCATGTCCGTAACTACTTCCTGCTGGGGCCTCTGCCAGCCTAACACTTACTAAATGGGAGCTGGCTGTGTAGTAATCACCCCTACCCAACCATATTGTCTTTCTAGCATATTACAAGATACTGTTTTCCTCCCCCAACCAGTAGAGATACCTGGATTTGTGTTGCATCCATCATAACTGGGCTTCTTCAAACATTCTAAATATCTTAATGAGCCTTACTAAGTGATTTCCCTTGGTTATTCAATCATTGTTGATAGTGACTATTCCACTACCCCGAATTTGGTGCCTGAGGAGCTCTTCATCATCAATACTAATTGTCTTGGATGACTGGAAAAGAAGTGCTGGGGGAGAGGGGAGGTTTGCAGCTGAGGCTGGTTTCTGTGCTAACTGCTAGGGAGTGAAAGTACAGAGTTCAGTTTGAACCTGCGCATGAGCAAAGGAGAACTAAAAGGAATGGGAGTTCTCTTAACTTGGCACAGCAGTGTCCTCAGACAGGAGCCAGAATATACAGTGGGTGCCCAGGGGATGTTGAACATTTTTTCACATGCTTGTTGGCCATCTGCATTTCCTCTTTGGAGAAGTGTCTTTTTAGCTCTACTGCCCATTTTTTGATGGGGTTGTTTACTTCATTTTTGTTGAGTTTCATCAGTTCTCCGTATATTTTTGTGATCAGTCCTTTATCGCTACTTTTGTGTGAGAAAATGTTTTCCCAATTAGTGACATGACAGATTTTATCTTGAATTTTTTGCTAAAGAAATCAAGGCATTTACTGGGAGAAGAATATCCCCTCTCCAAGGGGAAAAGATAAGTATACTAGTTTTTTCTGGAAAGAGACTTCATCAGGAGAGGTTTCGATAAAGACCTTAGAAGCAAGTTTCTCTGTTAACATAGGCCAGGGTAAACAAAGCAGGCGATATTGGGGTTAAAATGTAAGTCTGGAGCAGCTGGGAAAGCCCCATAGACAAGGAGATCTTGGAAAGTGTGTGAGGATAGAACCTGAAGGGGGTGATGACTGATCCTTTTGATAGACAGGCCACTGGAAGACATGGGTCACTTCCCTTAGGACAGGGGAGATTGAGGGCCTGGGCCAGTGAATGAAGAGAAGGGTTTGTCATGTTAGGCAGAGACAGTGCCAGGGCCTTGAGGAAGGGCTGCTGGAGGGCCAAGCAGGCCCTCTTGGTCTCGCCATTGAAGGGTAAGGGGCCAGTAGGAATTGCTTTTGCCATGACATACAGTGGCTTGGTCAGGAAAGCAAAATTAGGGGCCCAATGACAGAAGAATCCTACCAAACCAGGAAGGAAAGGCTTTGCTCTGCAGAAGCAAGAGAGGGAAGGTACCTGATGGCCTGTTTGCGGCCCACCATTAGTTGTTTGGAAGCAGCAGTTAGGCGGAGGGTTCGGAGAGGATGGCCGGTTCTCACCAAGCAGTGGTGATCTCCCTGAGAGCCAGTCGATTTTTCTTTTTGGACCAGGTGGATGGGCAGTAATATTCGTCAGAGGTGTCCCCAACAATGGAGGCAGAGGAGGGACAATGTGAAAAGAAAAGCCAGTGAGAAGAGAAGGCAAAGGAGGCAAGGGGAGAGTCGAAGAGAGGTTCAGGAGCCAGGGGAGTCCAGCCAGCTGGAGTCAACCGTCGGCGGCTTCTGGGTTTCGGCACCAAAATGTTAGAAATAGAGGCGAGTAAAAGAGACCAAAGATGTAAGGCGAGATAGCAAAGAAAGAGTTTATTGCCCTTTCGGGCGCATTCGGGGTGGGGGAAAAAGTGGAGTTGCGCACTCGGGCAGGGGGTTACGCGTTTTATAGCCGCAAAGGGGGAGCCGACGCGAGACTGCACCAGTTTTGAAAACAGGATGTTTTCCACTGGTGGTTTTTTTGCAAGATTTGTTTCCACCTGCGTTTTTCCGTTGTCATTTCGGCCCACCTTTGGTAATGGGCGCCGACTCATGTCCGTAACTACTTCCTGCTGGGGCCTCTGCCAGCCTAACACTTACTAAATGGGAGCTGGCTGTGTAGTAATCACCCCTACCCAACCATATTGTCTTTCTAGCATATTACAAGATACTGTTTTCCTCCCCCAACCAGTAGAGATACCTGGATTTGTGTTGCATCCATCATAACTGGGCTTCTTCAAACATTCTAAATATCTTAATGAGCCTTACTAAGTGATTTCCCTTGGTTATTCAATCATTGTTGATAGTGACTATTCCACTACCCCGAATTTGGTGCCTGAGGAGCTCTTCATCATCAATACTAATTGTCTTGGATGACTGGAAAAGAAGTGCTGGGGGAGAGGGGAGGTTTGCAGCTGAGGCTGGTTTCTGTGCTAACTGCTAGGGAGTGAAAGTACAGAGTTCAGTTTGAACCTGCGCATGGGCAAAGGAGAACTAAAAGGAATGGGAGTTCTCTTAACTTGGCACAGCAGTGTCCTCAGACAGGAGCCAGAATATACAGTGGGTGCCCAGGGAGTACTAGCCACTCATGAAAGCAGCCCAAGCACCTCAATGGGGTTTTGAAGGGTCAAGTAGGCAGTAGTTAACCACAGAAGGTGAGAAATGTGATTAGGCAGAAGTAAAGCTTGTGATTGGGAATGGAGTTAGTTCATTATGATGGGAATATAAAATTCATGAAGCAAGGAAGGCTAGCTGAGAAGGCTCTTGAATCCAGGTAAGGAATTTGAATGTGCCCCCATGGGTGACGGAGAGGCAAAGGGCATTGCATTTTACTGACTTTTGCTTTATGTATGTGATTAACAGCAGGAAGGTCAGACCCAGGACTGTATATAGATATCACAGTTACTCTGATAGTTGCTGTCTGTTTTAGTGGGGAAAAGAAAGAGGTCTTTGCTGGACCCATAGAGAATTGATATAGAAGGGAGTTTTGTGTGGCTCTCAGACTGTTATTGTGTTGAATATTCCAGGATAGGAACTACCCACATTCATCTCAGCAAATCTGCTTCATGACTTTGTTAAATTCTTCTACTTCCTAAGCTGGAAATATTGATGTCACTATGAATTTACAAAAGTAAGGTCTGCAGAAGGAAATGAGTTGAGAAATAGTTGTGTTCCCACTTACCCCTTAGGCCTCCTTGCCTCTTGCCACTCCTCCACTCCCAAGGGTTTCCAGATTTCCTTATCCCAGTTCATCTGAGAGATCCCCCCACCCTGTCTTCACTTGGTCTTCCCAGGACTCCCGGCAGCATGTGCAGTGCCTGCACGGAAGATGGGACGTTCCGTCAGTATGTGCACACGGCTTCCTCCCGGCGTGTGTGTGACTCCTCCGGCTACTGGACTCCAGAGGAGGCTGTGGGTAAAGGATTATGGCTTTTTATATGCTTTGGTGGCTGCTAAGAATGAGGGTGGAGGTAAAGGGTGGAGTAATGGCATGAGGAAAAGTGGGGTGTGTGTGTGTGTGTGTGTGTGTGAGAGAGAGAGAGAGAGAGAGAGAGAGAGAGAGACTGCCTTGCTCTCTCCAGGAGTCTGGGAAGGACTCTGCCTGGCCTCTCTGTGCTGGATGTCTCATGTATCCTTTGCACAGAGACGCAGGGCTAGAGTGAAGCAGAGGACAGTGGGATGAAGAAGTTAGTCAAACTCAGGGGGTGACTTCCATTGAGATAGCTCCGACGTGTGGGCTACATGTGCCTACCAGCCCAGGGAGCAGCCTTGCTCCATGACAGTGTAAGCTGATCTCTACCTCCTCTCTGTCAGGAGAGTAATGGAGAACGTGTTGTAGGGAACACTCACACACAGGCTCAGCCAGTATGGGTGGGGGTGGGGTGGACTAGGTGTTCCACACTGATTGTTCTCATCTACATTATTTTATGAGTCCATCAATCACCAGGACTTGTTGTGCTTTGGATATGATCTAAGCTGGGCTCTTGGAGCCAAAGATATTTTTAGCTGTCCCTTTTCCTGTCCCTCCCCCAACTTTTCATTCACATATCCACTCACATATGTCTATCAGTGTCTCTAAGACAAATGCCAGCATGATCTATTCGTTCATGCTGTTGACATGGATTTTAGTCCCTTTTGATGTATGGCTTGACTTCTTCCATTTCTGTCAGCAATACTTACTAATCATCATCTTTTTTCTTATATGAAGATCCTGAAAAGCACTCAGTAAGATGTATGGGAAATGGTCCTATTTCATTTAGTTTCCCATCTTGATTCTGACAGGGAAAAAGGAGATCTAAAAGTTACAGTATCTGCAAGATGTCCCCTTGGCCTCCCAGTTATTCAAATGACAGAGCTTCAGGGAGAAATCTGGAGCGAAACAATTTACTTGATTGATTGTATTGGACATTTTTCAAATGAGCATTTTCAGGGAAGAATGAAAAGTGACTGTTGAACTTACATGGAGGCTACATTGGACTCATGTAAAGGCTGGCATTTCATAAAAGGCCATTGCTATGGGAAAGTTTTTCCTGTGCTGTTTTAATACCTATTTGACTCCTTGACCTGCATTTATTATTGGAAAAATTAAAAGTCATTTGGTAAAGGTGAGAGGAATGGGAAGTTCTGGGTTCTAGTTTGTGTATTGTGTCTTGAGGCAAAATAGTCAACAGTTAGCCTCTACATCATGTTTTATTATAACATGAGATCATAGTAAAAAGTTTCTAACATTTAGTGCTGCTGCCTGGTTCACTTACAAGGGCTTTAGTTCTGCTGGTGTTTGGGAATAAATATTGGAAGATACTGATAAAAAACACTGGCTTTCCTTTTCTTTGAAAGGGTGAAGAACCAAATAATACTTAAAATATACGCACTAAAAGTGACTGAGTTTTCAGTAAAGCATGCACAAGCACATGTATATGTGCTGATATATGTAATGATACTTTTGGCCATCAACTTTCTTTTTGTGATCTTTTATATTTGAGTGTATTTTTTCATTTAATTTTAAAACACTGCTATAATTGAAGATTTCACTATTACATTTTCACTTGACTACTGAAGCTCTACATTTTTCCCACTCAAGAATACCCTTTTCATCCTCTGCCTGTAGTTTCCTCCATGCAGTGAGCTGCTTCCTTACATTCACCTCAACTCAATGGCAAATGTCAGTATATGGTTTTAAAGTTTGCCTAGGGTCCTACCTGGTATACTAGGGACTAAGTTTGCCATTACCACTGTGGCCTGAGTTTCCTGTCTCACCCACTGCTCCCCTGAGCAGTGTATTTCAATCAGTCTACTAGAGAGTGCTCCCTATTCTCTTTAGTGAATACTGTCACGCCCTGCACCTCTGGCCTACACCCCAGTTCTCCTACATAAAACTGAAAAAATCAACAAGGTTTGCCCAATAGTTGATTGGAAGGACTGTCAAGGGACTGTCTTGGGGAGTAAAAGTTTTGTGAAGAGCCTAGTTAAACAAAGATTAGAGTGGCAGTCTAAAATGAACATTACCATTATTAAGAACTAAAGTGGCTACAGAAGCATTAATTTAAGCACAAATTTTTAATACCTGAGTACAAAAAAATAAAGATTATTCTTTGCTCAAGGATTGGTTAGGGATATGATTGACTTTCTCTGCATAGGCCTTAGGTTTTCACTTAGGATCTTGGCCACTCTCTTCCCCATGACCTTGAGGTGTCTCCTATTACAGGGTCCCATGTAGAAGTAAAACAGAGCAAGAGTAGAATACTTTTGAAGTGTTATATCTTTGTCTTCAGTAGTATTTAAGATCTCACCCATTCAGCTGACCAGTTTCTGTAGGAATTTGCTCTCAGTTCTCTTCTTTGTTCTAGCTGCTGATCTGGGAAATATATTTTCAGACTATTAATGGTGATTCCTGATGTGTCTTTCTGTGCTTCTTCCTCTAGGGCCCCCAGATGTGGATCAGCCCTGTGAGCCAAGCTTGCAGGCCTGGAGTCCTGAACTCCACCTATATCATATGAACATGACAGTCCCCTGCCCTGTGGAAGGCTGTAGTTTGGAGCTGCTCTTCCAGCACCCTGTCCAAGCCGATTCCCTCACCCTCTGGGTCACCTACCTCTCCATGGACTCCTCGCAGGCACTCTTTGACACGGAGATCTTGCTGGAACACCAAGAGTCTGTGCACCTGGGTCCCTTAGATACTTTCTGTGACACCCCACTCACTATCAAACTGCACGTTGATGGGAAAGTTGTGGGGGTGAAAGTCTACACTTTTGATGAGCGCATGGAGATTGATGCAGCCCTCCTGACTTCTCGGCCCCACAGTCCTCTGTGTTCGGGCTGCAGACCTGTGAGGTACCAGGTGCTCCGCGAACCCCCTTTTGCGAGTGGCTTGCCAGTGGTGGTGACGCATCCTCTCCGGAAGTTCACGGACGTGTGAGTTGGGCAGTAGAGCTTTCTAAGTCATGGGGCTTCCTGGGACTTTGGGGGTGGATTTTAACTTCCTTTATTCTTCCTTTTTTACAACCTGACCTGTCCATAGTTAGATAAGTGACCCGAACCTCAGAGGGAATTTTATTCTAAAGTGGCCTATCTGAGATGGAGGAAAATACTTCCCAGAAAGGGGTGTGCAAGTGTCCTGACCATAAGACACCACTAGTAGGATTGTGGCAGAAAGAGGCCAGCACTTGAGGCTTTCAGTCAGACCGCATGTAATTGCGGCAAGTCAGTTGATGAGAATCAGATATCCTGTCTGGTAGCAAGATTTAATTTCCGATGCCTTGCTGCAGCTTTGGGAGAATCTGCCACAGCTGTGCTAATGCATGAAGGCTCCGGTAGCTCCTCCACAGTTGAGGAGAGAGACCTGGCATCTTGCAGACTGCATGCAGTTTCACAGTTTCCTCATGGTGTGTGCGACACAGTCTCCGCTTTTCCCCCTTTCCTCCCTCTCTCTACTTTCCTCCTCTAGCTTTGTCTTCATTCTTTCTACTTTTAGTGAGTTCTGCTGTGTTGCTGGCACTGTGAGCTTAGTGCTGCGATAAGATACAGGAATTCAGCTTCTAGAGGAGGAAGCTGGCATGTCCAGGAGCAAATTCTCCTCACTTCACGCATGATTTTTCTCAGAGGGCAGTGCACAGGATGCAAAGGCTTTATTGAAGTGGCGACATGGCTTAATTTTTGCTGCATCAGGAGTCGTCACACACATAGTCGTTTAAAACAGTAGGTGCTGTTTTCTCATGATTCTCTGAGTTGAATGGGTTTCTTGGTGGCCCCTGGCCAGAGAGCTATATTCCAGAACAGTCTAATGCACACATTAAATGTTCAGCTAAGACCCTTGCATGTCTGGGAAGAGGAAGATGCCACACAATTTTTCATTCTCAAGGAGGCTTTGCCCGGGCTTGTTCTCATGGTGGTGGTGGGGCTCCCAGAAGCATGCAGGAAAAACCCACTGTGTTCACTCCTTTCAAGCCTGTGCTTGCATTATTTATGTTAACATTTCACTTGCCAGAGCAAGGTGCATGGCCGATTCCAGATACGTGGAGTAGCAAATGCAGACTCCTGATAAGAGGAATGGCAGGGTCACATCACACCATGGCAGGGGTTCATCTGAACTGGGAAGGATTTGTAGCCATTTTGCAGTCCACCCTAGCTACAGAACATAGAGGAACATGTCCACCTTGAGCTGAACTACTTAACTTCCCTGCTAATATTTACACTCTGAATTGGAACTAGAAGACAGTGGTCAAAAAACTAATGTGTTCTTGGATGCAAACTTTGCTTTGTATTTGTTCTCCATGACTGAAATAAAATGGAGTACTAGGGTTTAAAAAAAAAAAAAAAACAGCTAATGTGAATGAAAGGCTGGATGGATTTAAATTTAAAACACACCATTTTTGAGCTTCTCTAAGAAAGCAGTTAAAATGACATTGGTGTCTAACTTGTTATCTGCACACATGCTCACACAAACACACTTGAAGGTCAATAATATTTCATTTTATAGATAAGAAACTAAAGTGCAGCTCTAATGTGATTGAATAGTGTGCTCCAGTGTCAGACTCAGGATTAAAATCCAATTTTCGGACTGAATCTCATTTCGGTCCCCTTTCCTTAGTAACACACTGCCCTCTGTGAACTCACATCACTGAAGACAGGTCTCTCTGCTGCTGAGCTTCTCCTCTAAGACGTGAACACTCAGACTGACACTTTCCTACCACGCAGTGTAAGACTTTATTTGTGGCTGGTTGATAAGGCTAACAGGAGCAGTCCTGCAAAGGCAAGCCAGCAAAATTGATGATGATATAACGTAGGCTTTGCTTTTGAAATTTCTGGTGTTCCCATGGGATGAACTCCCCTGAAGAACACTAATTTGGAAATGTAGGTCTTTGTCTTTGATGTTTCGGTGACTTTCCTAGTAATATGACTGAGAGCCAGTACAGGTGTTAATGGTGTTTCGAACCCTCTTGACTTTTCCCGCTTGCTGGCTGTGGCATCAAGCAAGAGGGCGGTGGCGTTGTGATGGAGTTGGCAGTCTGTTACAAGAGGCCTTGGCAGATATGAGGTGGCAGTGACATCCCCAGCAACCTTTGCAACCTTCTGCTGGCACGCTCAGCCCCTCGCAGTTAACACTGGCAGTGGTTTTCACTGGGGCAGGCACTGGGGAAAACTAATAGGACACAGTTTGTCTTTGGAACTAGCCCCTTTCCCCTTTTTGCATCCTTTCACCTAAGAGCTCTTCACCTGGTTTGTGTGTTTAAGCTCAACAGAGAGTCTGGTAAACTCCTTCCACCTCTGGAGTCAATTGATAAAACACTCCGTTCCTGAAGATTGTATTTGGGCGGGTTTGGATGTAGACTGTAATGAAATGTATTTTTCATTGTGGAACTACATCCCAAAAATGATGAAGGAGGAGGGTACTTTTTCCTCCTCCAAGACACAGTTCCTCTTCCTTCTATGGATTCAGTCTTCTCATTGATAAGAATTCTCATGAGAGTCAAGAAACGTGTGACCCACCTACCCAAGAAATGCTTTGCTGAGCCCAAATGCTAAAGTTTCCCTTGGGTTTTTTTGTTTGTTTTCTTTTTTTACTTTGAAGACGCACAAAACTACGTTTTAGTAGTTAGACTTTTCTTTTTTTAAAGCATGGTTTAGAATGAAATGTCACCTTCCTAGAGAGTGAAAAGTTGTTAATTAATTCAGCAAAACTTATACCTCACTAAGTGAAACATACTGGGATTACCAAAATAAGTAGTCTAAACATTCTGCAGTTCTAGAAAACTAAGTGCCCTGATCTTTGTTTCACATAATGTGGCCTGTTTCACTTTTACGTTGCCCGTTGTATTTCTTTTAACCTCTTGCAACCCATCTGCAAAGGATCCAGGACATGTTTGTTTTCTGGAAGTAGTGGTCACAACCCATTGGTTTCCACAGGGAGGTCACACCTGGGCAGGTGTATCAGTACCAAGTTCAAGCAGAAGCTGGAACAGAACTAGGAGAAGCTTCGCCTCCTCTGACTCACATCCACGGAGCTCCTTACTGTGGTGATGGGAAGGTGACAAGGTGGGTATTGCATGCATAGGTTTGTGGGAGCAAGACACCCTGCCCTGCTCTGACCAGGAGGCACACCTGGAGTTTGAATGTGACTGATTTGGGGGGCTGGGGGTTTCCTGTTGGGGCAGTGCACTGTGTGATTCTGGTATTAAGGAAAATCCAGGACTGGATAGGGGTCTTGGGAGGTCACTCACATACCTGCATAGATCTCACCATGGGATATTGATGCTGTGGGGGCCCTTTAAAGGTTTCAAATACCAGCCTGAAGTCTCACAATGGTTCAGGGCAGGGACTCCTGGAGGAGACTGTTTCATGTCAAACAAAGCTGAGAGAGGATGTGAGGATCTCTTT